AATGAATGTCATTAGCCTGCTTTTAAAAAGTGCAGTAATCCCTTCTTCAGTCTTTGGTTTTTAAAACAGTCCTTTTTCTGTTTCAGTCCACAATCAAAAATACAGGGAAAGTGGCCACAGTCCTACTGGACAATATGGCTGCTGTCTCATTAGTGAAAGAGGCGATTGGTAGTACTCTAACCTGAGTGTCACCACGTCACAGGCAAAGGGAGAGGCCAAGAAGAGGAGACCCTTCATGGTAATCTCACCTCGTGCAGGATTTGAACCCATCACAAACCAGCTGTCCAGTCAACTGAACTAACCGACCCCCTAAAATACAAAAAGATGAAAAAGGTACAGTTTTTACACAATTGAAAATTCCAAATGTCTTCCAGGACATGAGCAGGTGGATGCAGATATGTTTTGTCTGACTAGTGAATGTCTGAACCAGCAAAAATAATCTCAGATTAAGGGATAGGTCATTGAAAAGGAGGATGATGAATCACAGAATCCCATGTTGAACCATATTTTAACAGCATAGGTATTTGTAGAACTCATTTTGTTAAAGCATTTTCTGCTTTCCAATTTGTAGCATCCCTACAGTGCAGAAAGAGGCCATGTGGCCCACTGAGTCTGTAATGACCCTCCGAAGAGCATCCTACCCAAACCCCCCACTCCATCCATTTAACCCACATTTATCTGGCTAATCAACTAGCCTGTATATCCCTGAACACTACAAGGCAAGTTAGTATGGCAAATCTTCCTAACCTGCACATCTGTGCACTGTGGGAGGAAACCGGAGCACACGGCAGAAACTGGAGCACAGGGTGGAAACCTACGCAGGCAAAGAGAAAACGTGAAAACAACCACACAAGGCTGGAATTGAACCTGGATCCCAGGTGCTGTGAGATGGTACTGCTAACCACTGAGCCACCATGCGCCCAGGAATTTATTCACTCGGAAGATGATGAATTTTTGGAATTCTCCAACCCAAAGGGCTCTGAAAGCTGAATGATTGAGCACGTTCAAGACAGAAATTGATAGATTTATGGAGAGTTATGACATCGAAGGGTATATTGCGGGAAAGTGGCATGAGGTACATGATCGGCCATGGTCTGATTGAATGGCCGACCAGGTTCAACAGGTTAGTGATCTGCCCTTGTTCCTCTGCTCCTTTGTATTGAATGGGACATGTAGTATGAGGACAAATTGAATTTTATTGCTCCATCTGTAATTTTCGGGTTTAAATGTGATGTAAAGAAATTTTAAAAATTTTATGAAGAAAGTATGTTTTTGATTAAAATAAATTAGAGAACCGGGTGAAGGCTATGCAATTCAAGATGTTGAACCATGCTTTAACAGGGTAGGTATTTGTAGAACTCATTTTCTTAAAGCATTTTCTGCTTTCCAGTTTGTAGCATTGGCATTTTTCCATACTAACTAACCTTCAGAATAAGCAGGCCCTAAAGGTCACCAGACAAGAGTATTGTTTTAAACCTTCATACTTTGGAATCAGACAGCTCACTGTGTAAAAGTGGAGATAAAGAGCTTGGAAGTAGAATCCTGTGCGACTGACAGCCAATATAAGATTAACTAGTTGTAATGTGGAAAAAGAATATGAATAACACTGTTAATAAACAGCATATTGTACAGCAGTACTTTCAAGTAACCAGTTTTGTAACTGTAGATAAAAATAATCTGTATATCAGTTGAGCTTTTGCAAGTACAGGTATTAGAGGGATTACTGTTACAAGACTATCACAGATGGCAGTCCTCCATTGTGTATTGAAGGAGCAGTGTAATTGAACCTCAAATAGTTCTCACCTGTCCTCTGGTGATCTTGGTCTTGGCAATGACAAACAGCATTTGTGCAATATTGCTATCTAACTAGTAGACATCTGTTTTTCTTTATTTCTAAAAAGAGAGTTCCGTTTGGGCTAGTTTATCTTATCCTGCAAATAAAAAAGATTTGGAAGTCTGAAAAATATAACAGTTTTCAAAACTGGTCTGAAGAAAGGTCTGGTTTTCCATTATTATTCACCACACTCATTTGAATTTTATGTTGCTACCTGGAACCATTTCAATGGGAGTTGAAAAACGTTACTTCGGAAACGTTAGACAAATTAAAACCATGTCTAACTCCTGGGTTACAATAGAACACCTGCTGACCCTCCTCTCTGTCAACCACTGACTTTGACCCTTCATCTATCTTCCTACCTACTCTCAACCATCCCTACCTGAGCCCCCAACTCCATTTCAAATCAACCTTGCCACCCTATCCAGCTGGTATCTTACCCACCCTGCCACCATATCTCCCTCATCCTACCCATATACCCGATACACACTCATTCGCTAACACACTTAAAAGCGATTTATGTGTTTTAGAAGTTTACAGAGTGTTTGTGAATAATAATAATATTCCCAAGTGCAGCAGTGGAACTAATACTGAACCAAGTGATGGAAAGGAATCCCTATCTTATACAAAGACTCATTGAATAGCCATGATCATGTCAAAGATTGACTGTAAGTGCCACCACCGTTAATGTGGTGACTCTCACCACAAATTACTTAATGACGTTACTAGGTCTGGCATATGAGTAATTTTATGAGAATGCACCAAAATTTGCACTTATAATTTCAAAAAATGAAAATGGAGCAACATGTGACCATTATCCCAAGTTTTTATCACCTTCCATACAGATGCAAGGAGCAACAAGGATAACTATAGATGCCACTACTGAAAACCCTAAACTGTGGTCCTCACATTAATTTCATTTAAGTTTGAAGATGGAGCTGAATTTAATATTTTTCCATGTGAATGTTGGGTACAAAATAAATAAAAATGGTGATACCACAAGTGGAGAAAATAAGTGGAAACAACCAGAAAAAGAACACCTGCTGACCCTCCTCTCTCTCAACCACTGACTTTTCTGAAGAAGGGTCTAGGCCCGAAACATCAGCTTTCCTGCTCCTCTGATGCTGCTTGGTCTGCTATGTTCATCTAGCTCTACACCTTGTTATCTCAGATTCTCCAGTATCTGCAGTTCCTACTATCTCAGAAAAAGAACATGTTTTCCTTGGTTTGCTATAGACCATCAAACAGAAAAATGAAATATTCTTCAGCTGTGTCATCAAATCAGTAGCATTATCACTGAAAAGAAGATTGTATTGAGGGGCTGAATGGCCTGTTCCTGCTTCCTGCAAGCTCAAGAGACAAAAAACCCCACTCATTCCATATATTTGAATGTAAATTCAGTATGTGAGCACTAGCACCAGAGGGGGCAATATGAACATACAGATTAGAGCAGGAGAAAATCACAAGCACCTTGAGCCTGCTCTTCTATTCAGTAGCATCATGACTGACCTGATTACTTCACATTTCTGCCTGCCCACAATAACCTATCACGTCTGTGCTTATCAAGAATCTATTTACCTTTACTTGAAAAATATTCAGACGCTGCTTCCATTCCCTTTTGAGGAAGAGAGTTGTAAAGATTCACGACCATCTCCAAAAGACAAATTCTCCTTATCTGTTTAGTAAATAGGTGACCCCTTATTTTTAGCGGTGTCATCTCTTTCTAGAATCTCCACAAGAGAAAGCATCCTTTTCACATGCAGTCTGTCAAGACCTCTCAGGATATATGTTTCAGTCAAGTCACCTACTTTTCTAAACTTCAGATGTGTTCCTAACTTGTACAAGCTTCTTTCATAAGACAACTTGCCCATTTTAGAAATTAGCCTAATAGAGCTTCTCTGGTTTTCACTCAATACATTTCCACGTAATAACGAGATTGATATTGTATACAGTACATTAGATGAGGTCTCACGGTCTCACCAATGTTCTGTATGATTGAAGCATAACTTTTGTATTCCATTCTCCTCTTAAGAACTGATAACATTCTATTAGGGTTCCTGATTCCTTCCTGTACTTCATATTAATCTTCTGTGATTCATGTACTGAGGCACCTAGACGTTTCTATACAGAGATCTGCAGCCTCTTACCACTTAGGAAATATCACAAACCATTAAAACGAATCATTTTGAATTGGAGGGGAAGATCATACAGTAACAAACATATAGAGATAGAAGGCAAGATAGCGAATTTAGTGCAGAACCAGGAATATCAATAGCAGACCCCTATGTGATTGTGAAGTCTTAGTGATTATGAATAAATTCGAAGACAAGCTAATAAAAGCTGCCAAATGATAAGAATTACAAAGCTGGAGAAAATTTGGGATGGTCACAGAGGTGCCAGATGGATGACCGACATACCCAGAAAAGATGTCTCCTGATTGGACTTATTAGGATAAAGCAGGCTACCAGTATGAGATTTTGAAGAAAAATTGGGGCATCATGTCATATGTGTAGATTCAATGTTAAACTAATGTTAAAGTTTTTTTGGGTTTGTTGGCAACAGATACTTGAGAATATTGATTAATTGATATTACATCTGCTTATCTGCAAAGAGATCAGCTCAAATAGGAAGTGCTTCTTCACCCTCCGAAAGAGATGCTACATGTGGTGGGGCCACTCTGAAAGTTAAATAGTTGTGTATATAGCATAAATATTGTCTCTAGAGTATGTTGGTTCTCAGTGAGGTCCAGCTTATTAAAATTAGGCTGTTTCCAGTTGAAAGCAGACCCTGCCATATTTTACTGTCACCATGGGAGGCAGCTTTCAGGCATCATTATGATGTACATAGATGAATTTTTGGAGTGTGGGAGAATGAACGTGAAAATATAAATTGGTTTCAGGGAGAATTCAAAATTAGAAGTTATGTGTCAGAGGTTTATAAGTCCATTGGATTAGAAATCAGGCAGTATGGACCTGGTGTCACTTTGCATCACTTTACTATGTTTAAAATGTTAGCCCCATTGCAGTTAGTCAAAGTATCACAGAATTATGTTGCAGAAGGAGGTCATTCAACCCATTGTGTCTGCACCAACTCCCTGTGCGTTTTAATTTGATGCCAATCTCCTGCATTTTCCCCATAAACCAACACATTGTTTCTGTTTTTGTAGGGCTTCACAAAAAGATACAGCTGCTTCCAAAATTCTGATGGAAATATCGTGAAGTCTAATTGGACAGCTGAATTAACTGAGCACCTAAGCAAGACCAGATCCCACTTTTGAATTGAAAAATCCCAAGGTTGACAATATTATTCAGGTGAACAAAATTTTGAAAAAAAGGAGCGCTGTGTTTATAAATTTCCATTATTGGGAAATGCCAGGAGCATGAAACATATTGTTTTTAGTGATGCTTCTTATACAAGTCTCAGTGGTGGGTTCTTAAGTACAGAAAGGTTCATAACTATTCTTCTGAGAAAGTGAGTTAAATGATGCCCTTTAGGTTGGGAAGATAAAAATATAAGAAAAGTAGCAACAATATCTTAGTGGTAGAAATTCTCGCTCTTATTTTCATCATGAAAATATCTAAAAAGGGATTCACCCATAATACTGTCTCTTTTCCTACAGTTCTTTCTTATCACTGGAATATACTTCTGCTGAACACTGTGAAAAATCGTTTTGAAAGTCCTCCACTGTTCCTCAATTGACCCACCATAGAGTTTTTGTTCCCATTCTACCTTAGCTAACTCCTTCCCCATTCCTTCATAGTCTCCTTTGTTTAAGCACAGGACGTAGGTACTGGATTTAACCTTCTCACGCTCCATCTGTATTTTAAATTCGACCATACTTGGATCGCTCCTTCCGAGAGGATCCCTAACCGTGAGATGATTAATTATTCCTGTCTCATTACACAGGACTAGATCTAGGATAGCTTGCTCCCTCGTATTGTTCAAGGAAATTATCGTGGATGCATTCTATGAACCCCTCCTCAAGGCTGCCATGACTGACCTGGTTTGATGAATCCATATGTAGATTAAAATCCCCCATGATAATTGCTGTACCATTTTTACATGCATTAGCTATTTCTATGTTTATTGCCTGCCCCACCGCAATGTCATTATTTGGTGGCCTATAGACCACACCTATCAGTGACTTCTTCTCCCTGCTATTCCTAATTTCCACCCAAATGGATTCAGCGTTTTGTTCAGTAGAATCTATATCATCTCTCACTACCGCCCTGATATCATCCTTAAAAATCAGAGCGACACCACCTCCCTTACCTTCCTGTCTGTCCTTCCGAACAGTTTGATACCCCTGGATATTTAACTCCCAATCATGACCATCCTGTAACCATGTCTCTGTAATGGCCACTAAATCGTACCCATTTGCCATGATTTGCACCATCAACTCATCCACCTTGTTTCGAATGCTCCGAGCATTCAGATAAAGTGCCCTTATGTCAGTTTTTGCACCTTTTTGGGTCCTATTACCTCCATAACTAACAGCTCTTGAGTCTCCTTCCCTTTAACTTTTTTCCTAATTTTCAATGGAGTTGAAGCTTCCTCGTCACCTGCTAACCTGCTGCTTTGGCTTACATTAATTGTTATTCTCCCTCTACGCTCACTTCTCCCTTCCCCCCTACTTACTAGTTTAAAGTCCTATTAACCACCCTATTTTCCCTTTTCGCCAGAACACTGGACCCGGCCCTGTTCAGGTGAAATCCATCCCAGTGGTATAGATCCCTCCTGTCCCAGAACTGATGCCAGTGCCCCATGAAAAGGAAACCCTCTTTCCCACACCACTCTTTTAGCCATGTGTTTACTTCCCTGATCCTCGCCTCCCTATGCCAATTTGCACGTGGATGCCTGAGACCAAATGGAGCTAGGGAACAAACAATGGTTATATGCTATTTAAGACACAGATAAAACCCAATGAGCCTCCGCTTGGAAGAAGCCAGTGCCAGAGACCCTCAGCGGCACTTCTAACTCTGAGTCAATTAAACCTCCGTGGATACACCAACCAGGCTTTCACCTGACCCCTCTACCAGCTCATAGAGTACTGACCAAGGTGAAAGTCTGTCTGGTTTAGACTCAGGAGTGCACTCTGATGAGCATATTCTCTGACATATCTTCACAGCTGGCTGACAAAAACGTGCCCCCGGTCTCTGGCACTCAGAGGACTACTGGAGACCTGGCACCTGCTCAGGTCCAGGCAGAAAGTGATCCCATGTTCTCGGCCATGAATGAATTTGTCACAATGCACAAATAAGCATTGGAACAGCTGGCAGGCAGAAATATCAGCCACTTGATAAGTTAGATCAAAGGATAGTGAATTGCTCCAATTTTATCATTACCATGCTGGCTCCATTATCAGCCATGAGCTTATTGCTTTGTATTCAATCTCAATGGACCTGTTGGCCTACTTTTGATCCTATGTCTTATGGTCATGTGGTCTAAACCTCCTCTCCTTCCCTGAAGAACTAGCCAGTGCAAATTCCCTTTGTGTTAAATAAGAGTGGGTACCTAGCAGCTGTAGCTTGACAATTTCTTGTCTCAGACATAATCCAATTGTGCCTTTGCCGCAATGGCCTATATGCTCCATGGCTGCTATCCTCCTCGACCCTTTGTGCATGCGTGTTAACAGCGGTAAACTACCTCATCACATTGTCAAGGCTCCTTGTGAATCAACACACAGACCACTTCAGCCCTTCAACACTCCGCTTCGGAGTTCAGGAACACGTGCGGCTTGCAATCTTCTGCCAAGACACTTTACATACAGGGGCACACAGGCATCTCCTACATCTGCACAGAATGCATCTTATGGCTGTGAGCTCACCTGCTTTGCACAAACTCACTTTGTACTTATTTGGAAGCTGACAGCTTATGCCTAATTTCTGCATAACTCTGTATAATGGTCTTATAGTCTAAGTGCTTTCTGTTGCTGGAACCATCTCGGCTTTCATACCATTGACACCATATTTAAAGCCCATCTGTACACCACTTCAGATACTGCAAGCCAGGAACAACTCACACTGTTGTTTGAGTATCTAGATTCAGAAAATAGCCCTGAAGAAAGGAAAACTCACACCCTGCATTGTGGACAAGGGGGTGGTGAACAGACGAGCTGACTGACACAGGAGGCTACATTACCAGTCCAAGCAAACCTGGGTATATATGGCATCCCAGGACAAGGCTGTATCTCAGGTGAAATGGAATGTTCAGCAGTGCAGGAAGAAGGTCAATGAGCTTCTATGCTCTGCAGGGGTAAGTGCCACCATCTTCTCTCTGCTATCTCACATTCACAAAGCAACCACTTATTCTAACTCTGCCACTGCACACATATCACAGTAAGGGTCATCTACTACGACTCTCACTGTTGCATGCACCATTTCCACTCAACAGCACTCACCTTCCTCGTCCTACCGAACTACTGAACTTTCCTGTCCTCTGCACTTCCTACTCAGTCAATTGACACACCTTGTCACCACCACACCTACCCCACCCCCCACCCCACTTCAGCCCATTGACTAAATGTGACGATACCTTGTGACTGACTCTAGGCCCTCTCATTCCACTAAGCACTGCTCCTCTTTGACTTTCACACATGGTAATTTGCTTTAATGGTGGCAAACTGGCTGCCCTTCTCTCTGCACTAAAAAGCAATGGAAGCCACCAAGGTTGGCCACCTCTAACTGACCACTAAAGGACTCTGATCTTGTGCACTAACAAAGCAATGTGAACCACACAAATTCTACCAGCCTGTAAATCATTATTGCAATCAGTGCATGAGTAAGTGCTAAGAAGGAAAGCAAAGAGGCATAGAATGTGTATGTGTCCCAATGTGCAAAGAGGTCTTGCAGAAGCATGCACTTCATAGGCATCCTTAAGCTACAGAGTACTATGGAAGGGCTTAAATGGTTTGCAAGTTGGTCTGAGAGCAGGCATAATGATATGCTAAAGTTTGTGGTTTGTTGATGCTGATTGACATTGATAAAAGGTTTAGGCTGGTGGCAGTCATAGGGTATGAGGGACATTGTTGTGAAGAAACAGTTGGACAATGGCTGGAACATATCTTCCATGAAATGCAGCCACAAGGTGTCCACTCTGATCGGCATTTGTGCCGACTAGTTTTTCCGAGAAGGCAAGAAGAGAATGGGAAGTGTCATATTAATGAGTTGGGACTTGAGTGAGATGTAAATGCCTGGAAGTAAGGGAGTTGCTGCTCAATGGAGAGATTTTCAAACCACCATTTAAAACTTAAGGGGAAAACCAGAAAAAGTTTTCTCAATGTTGAGATTTTTGATTCTTTTTTTTAAATTCTCTCTGTATTTTTCCACCTTTCTTGACATTGTTCACATCACACCAGGGAGGGGAATTTCCTAGGTGCATTGCGCCTGGAGCAAGCCAGTACAGCCATGAAAAGGCAACTGCTTTCGTTCCATGGTATAACTTCTGTTTTTGTTTTCTTCTTCCACCATGTGCAAACACATCAAGAAAGACATTCAGAGAGCAGTGAATGCTGGAGATTCTTGAGCTGGGCAGTTCCCAATCTATTTGGATTCAATGGAGAAATATAAACTTGTAAAGGACATTTCTTATTTGCTCACAAATTCTAGGCATTGCTGGCTAAGCTAGCATTTACTGCCCATGCCTAATTGGGCATGTGCCATGGTGGCATTTGAACCTATGTCCATAGAACATTTACCTAAGGTTCTGGCTTACAAGTCCAGTAACATTGCCAATATTTCTCCATCTCCCTCAGATTTAAGTATTTAAAATTGTTAAAACGATCGGTTACTAACAAGTGAATTTATTATTGATAGCTTAGAACTTGGGACCACCAGTTTAAAATGAGAAAGTAGAGAATGAAGGCAAATGTTTGGCAGTTTAGTTTTCTCGAGACCAGTTAGCTGTGAATAAAGGAAATGTTTGTGAGCACTGACTTAAAGTAATCATTCAAGTTGTTGGCAATGTTTTTAGAAGAGAGAAGGTGAAAAGGGTTTTCTAACAATTAATATAAGCATAACTGGAAATCTCCAGCAATTGTTTTAAGACCATAAGACATAGGAGCAGAAGTTAGGCCATTCGGCCCACCGAGTCTGCAACGCCATTCAAACATGGGTAATAAGTTCCTCAATGCCATTCTCCTGCTTTCTCCCCGTAACCCTTGATTCCCGTGATTATCAAGGAACCATCTATCTCAGTCTTAAATGTACTCAATGTCCTGGCCTCCACAGCCTTCTGTGGCAGTGAATTCCATAGATTCACCACTCTCTGGCTGAAGTAGTTTCTCCTTATCTCCATTCTAAAAGGTCTTCCCTTTACTCTAAGGCTGTGCCCTCGGGTCCTAGACTCTCCTACCAATGGCAGCATCTTCCCAACGTCCACTTTGTCCAGGCCATTCAGTATTCTGAAAGTTTCAATTCGATCCCCCCTCATCTGTCTAAACTCCAACGAGTATTGTCCCCGAGTCCTCAAACATTCCTCATATGTTGAGCATTCCATTCCTGGGACCATTCTCGTGAACCTCCTGTGAACCCGCTCCAGGTCCAGTACATCCTTCCTGAGATATGGGGCCCAAAACTGCACACAATACTCCAAATGTGGCCTGACCAGAGCCTTATAAAGCCTCATTAGTATATCCCTGCTTTTATATTCAAATCCTCTCAAAATAAATGCCACCATTGCATTTGCCTTCCTGACTACTGACTTAACCTGCAAGTTTGAATTTTGAATTTTCGGGATAATACTCGTGTCTTTCACCGCGAAGACTGACACGAAGTAATTATTCAGTTCCTCAGCCATTTCATTGTTCCCCACTATTGTCTCTCCACCATCATTTTCCAGTGGTCCAATATCCACTTTGCCTCTCTTTTGCCCTTTATATACCGAAAAGAAACTCTTACAATCTTCATTTATATTACTGGCTAGCTTACCCTCATATTTAATCTTCTCCCTCCTTATTTCTTTTTTTGTTGCCCTCTGTTGGTCTTTGTAAGCTTCCCAGTCCTCTGGTTTCCCATTGCCCTTCGCCACATTATGTGCTTTCTCTTTTACTTTTATGCTATCCCTAACTTCCTTAGTCAGTCATGGTTGCCTCATCCTCCCTGTACCATGCTTCTTTTTCCTAGGGATGAATTTTTTCTGCGTCTCCTGAATTACTCCCAGAAACTCCTGCCATTGCTGTTCCACTGTCTTTCCTGCTAGGCTCCTCTTCCAGTCAATTCTGCCCAGCTCCTCCCTCATACCTCTGTAGTCACCTTTATTCAGCTGTAATACCATTACCGCTGATTCTATCTTCTCCCTCTCAAATTGAAGAGTAAATTCTATCATCTTATGATCACTGCCTCCTAAGGGTTCCTTTACCTTAAGCTCCCTTATCAAGTCTACCTCATTGCACAACACCAAATCCTAGGCCCGAAACGTCAGCCTTCCTGCTCCTCTGATGCTGCTTGGCCTGCTGTGTTCATCCAGCTCTACATCTTGTTATCCCAGTCTTGCCTGTTCTCTTTTGGGCTCCGCCACGAGCTGCTCCAAAAAGCCATCTCGTAGACATTTCACAAACTCCTTTTCTTGCAATCCATTACCAACATGATTTTCCCAGTCCACCTGCATATTGAAATCCCCCATGATCACTGTGACTTTGCCTTTATTACACACCTTTTCAATCTCCTGGTATATATTGCGCCCCAGCTCTTGGCTACTATTTGGACGCCTGTACACAACCCCAGCTATGGTTTTTATACCTTTGCGGTTCATCAATTCTACCCACACAGATTCTACACCATCTGACCCTACTTCATTTCTTCCTATTGATTTAATTTCATTTCTCACTAATAAGGCAAACCCACCCCCTCGGCCCACCTGCCTATTTTTTCGATAGGATATATATCCTTGGATATTCAGTTCCCAATCCTGATCCTCTTGCAACCACATCTCCGTGATGCCTACCACGTCATACCTGCCAGTTTCGATCTGTACCACAAGCTCACTTACCTTATTCCTTATACTGTGTGCATTCAGATATAACACCTTCAGTCCAGAATTAACCCTCCCTGTTCTCATTTTCATTAGTTTTTCCAGTGTTTGATTGCTAGCCTTTTCCAAACACTCTGTCCTATTTGTGTCTGTGCTGGAGACTTTAATAACCTGTCCTGAATTTCCCTTCCCTGTCATTTCTTTCATATTTTTCCACTTAGTTGAATCCATCAATGCAGATGTTAACCTGCTGTTTTGTTTCCCACCAGGGCAAGTTTCACCATTCCCTTCCTGTTGACCAGCCTATTTACCCTTTTTGCTAGAACATTGGTTCCAGCTCGATTCAGGTGGAGACCGTCCCAACAGTACAGATCCCTCCTGTTCCAATACTGATGCCAGTGCCCCATGAAAAGGAACCCCTCTTTCCCGCACCACTCTTTTAGCCACGTGTTTATTTCCCTTATTCTCATGTCCCTATGCCAATTAGCACATGGCTCAGGCAGTAATCCGGAGATTATAACCCTTGAGGACCTGTTCTTTAATTTGGTTCCTAGCTCCTGATAATCTCTGAACTGGCCTTCTTTCCTAGTCTTGCCTATGTTGTTTGTTCCGGCGTGAACCACAACAACTGGATCCTCCCCCTCCCGTTCCAATATCCTTTCAAGCCGCTCAGAGATATCCCTTACCCTGGACTCGGGCAGGCAACACACCAGGCGGGACTCTCAATCCTGCTTACAAAGGATTATATCTGTCCCCCTAATTATAGAATCCCCTGCAATTGCGACCTACCTTTTTGCTCCCCCCTCTTGAATAGCCTCCCATACCACGGTGCAGTGGTCAGTAGGCTCATCCTTGCTGCAGCTCTTTTCCTCATCCACACAGGGAGCAGGTACCTCGTACCTGTTGGACAAGGTCAAGAGCTGAGGCCCCTCTGTTGCTGACTGCAGGATCCCTCTACTTGTCTCGCTTACAGTCACACCCTGCTGTCCCTGGCCACTGACCAAATTTGAATTATTTAATCTACCAGGTGTGACTGCCTCCTGAAACAAATCATCCAGGTACTTCTCCTCCTCCCAGATGTGCCGCATTGTTTAAAGCTCCAATTCCAGCTCATCAACTCTGAGCCGAAGTTCCTCAAGCAACCAGCACTTGCTGCAGATGTGGTCACTGCAGTTCGCAGTGGGATCAGCCAGCTCCCACATCATACAGCTACAACAGATCACCTGTCCAGCCATTTCTACTTAGTTAATTACTTTATTAATTTATATAATTTATTATAATGCGTTAATTAAGTTAGTTGATACTTTCCTCCCTCCAACAGCTTCCAGCCCAAAGAAAGGAAAAAATAAATCTCACTACTCTAGATTGCCAAAAGAATAAAAAAAACTTACCTTACCGACCCTCCACACAGTCTTTTTTTTTGGTTAGAGGAGGAGGATGGGTGTAGTGTTTTGTGGTTAAGACAATGCCCAAATATAATAGTTCACTTCCCGGCTCGTGCTCTCACCACTCCCACCGCTCGAATCACGAGGTAAGCTTTTATAGCAAAACCTTACCTTCCCAGCTGCCCCCTGCCTCAGTGTCTCACCACTCCCGCCGCTTGAATCAAGCAGCTCAAGTAGTTTTACAAGACAAACCCCTATTATTGTTATAAACCATCGCATTATTCTGTTTATCAATGAGTAATAGAACAAGACATGCAAGAGGTACAATTCTGTTCTCAAAATTAGCCATTGATAAGAGAAAGTTCCTTCCAAAATTTACTTTAAAGTTTTAATTTCCTTTAATTGTTGAGGGAATCAGTTGTTTATTGACCAAATATAATTTTGCCTTTCTTCTTAGGGTGTCAAAGATTAACAGTGATCAATGCTGTATTTTAAAAAATTGCAATTTTGTATGTTTTTTTTCACTTTTGTGCATCATTATTAAATTTGTGTCCAATAAGTTGAAAACAACAATAAAATGAATGATTAGGTAGAATCCACTGTAAATGAATAAATTTTAACTCTGAAAAATTTGATTTTTCCTTGAAGTCATTTCTTAATTCTAATGAATAAACTTAATTGCTATAGAATATTGTATGTTATATTTGAGATTATTTCTTTAGAATTTTTATTCACATTCACTTCATTTAACTGAGTAAAAAATATGCAGAATCTCATTTTAATTAGAAAGAAAATTGAAGAAAACAAATTAATAAAATTCATAACATGTGAATGGGTCAATAATCTTTGCCTAGATCTAAGAAATTTAAAGCCTGATAAGTGAACCCCAATTTGGATTTTTGCACACTATAAATGACACCTAACGAACATTGATGCAGACTTGTTTAAGAGCCCAGAACTGGGAAGGATTATAGTTGTTGTTTGAGAAGTGACTGTTTATACAGTGCTTTTCATGTTTTTGTTTTTCTTTTCAAATAGGAAACAAAATATGTCATTCATAAACCTGCCTGGGATGGTGCATTTGAAGTAAAAAAAAGTTGTCAGCTTTTGTTGATGATTCAAAAGGATCCTTTGACACCAACGTCCCTGACAAAGATCCTGCAATGTACTGGAGTGGTGGTTTTTGGACCCATCAACTAAAGTAGTAACAGCGGAAGCACTGCTTGAAGATGAAAAAGATGACAGAAGTAGCTATAGCAGCTAGTGTGATCACACAAGCGGATGGGGTATGTGATAGACAATATCTTATGTAAAATTCACTGTCATCTAGCGATTTGTATGCAAGGCAGTAGTCAATGTACTGCGCACATGTTATTTCTCATATTTTGGCTTTATGCGCCTTTTTAAATTTAACAGTGGCACATATGTAAAACATATGCCTTTCCATATTATCGTTTTTTGAATTGTATCTTTTGACTGCCGCAATTAAAAATATAAGCAAATTTGTTGTATTTGCCTTAAATTTTCTTGTGGATTTTTTTTTAAAGTAACCAAGTTACCAAATCCATATATCCCACTTGGTCTTCTAAAGGCCTGTCTACTACTTACAAGTTCATTCCCTGCATTTGATTTTTAAAAATTGGATTTCCGTCCCTGTGGAACAAGACTGGATGAATGATGGGATATGAGAGCTGATTGGACAAATTACAAGAAGGCAGTAAATTTTCTAACTCTATAGGGCAGCTATGTGGTATTTTAGGGAACTACTGGTACAGTCTTAAAGAGGTAACCTAATGTACCCATAGACTATTGAGATTTGTTTTGGAGGTTACAATGTTGCATAATCTGTGGATTGCAGCCAGCAAAGTTTTATTTTGGCTAAAATGTTTTTCTTTCTAATCTTCAATCAATTTGATATATTAGTATTCCAGCATTGTAACAAACAACACAGGCAATTTTTCTCATGTAATGATTGATTTAATACAGTTACAAGTCTTTGTGATCTGTGTCAGCATGATATTAAGACTAGCATTAAGTAATAAGATTCCAATAATGAATATGATGAAAAATTTTACATTTGAAGACTCTGGCCTAGATTTTGCTCTCAGTAGAGGAAGAAACTGCTTTTGGCCTTTAATTCTGGTATTTTTGCTCAGAATCATTTAGTAGATTTGTCATCAGGAATTTCTCTTAGTCCGACATCTCTTTCAGAGCAATGCCTTCTAGAGGAAATCCTTTGCACCTTTGAATACTGCAAACAGCAGTGAAATCCTTGAACCAATCAAATTCAAATATCTTTGCTGAGGTATGCGCTGTAAATCAGGAAGTAAAAAAGCTAGAAATATAAATTTACATTTTGATCATGCAGCAAAAGTGAAATATAAATTTAAAAATACAAATGGAATGAGGGAACATACAGAAAAAAAAATAAACTGTATTTATTCATATTCGCATCATATTTTACCCAGAGAATGAGACGCCACACTTGTAAAATTAATTCTTCAGATCCTGAAAGGCTATAATGCATTACTATCATGCCATTAGAAATACTCTACTCCTAAATATTCAGTCACTGTGAACATTTCCAGCTGTGTTTAATTTGGAAGTACCCTAAGGTCATGAGGTTGTTGACTTGTTTGCCGAGCTGGCTTGTTCTCATTCAGATGTTTCGTAATCATGCTAGATGACATCATCAGTGGATCCTCTGATGAAGCGATGTTATTCTACTCCGTTTGGAATTTATACTGTATGGTCCATTATGGTGAGTAGTGTCATTTCCGATTTGATCTGTATGGGTTTGTATATGGAATCCAATTCTATGTATTTGTTGATTGCATTTACAGGTGGAGAACTATGCCCCGAGGAATTCCCGTGCATGTCAATGTTTGACTTGGGCTACTATGGTTACCTTGTCTCAGTTAAACTGATGGCTTTCATTGTTTGAGTGCACTGATATTAAGGAGACGTAATATTGGTACACTCAGACAATGAAAGCCATCAATTTAACTGGGACAAAGTAATCATAGTAGCCCAAGCCAAAGATAGACATGCACAGGAATCCCTCAAGGCATAGTTCTCCACCTGTAATGCAATCAACAAACATATAGATCAAAACCGGAAATAACACTAATCACCATAACAGACCAGACAGTATAAATTCCAAGCGGAGTAGAATAGCATTGCTTCATCGGGGGCTCCACTGATGATGTCACCTAGCAGGGTGATGAAATGTCTGAATGAGAACAAGCCAGCTCGGTGAGCAAGTCAACAACCTCACCCACAACCCGAGCTACAAATCTTTACCAAAACTTTAAACCCTAATGTCAAGCCGTGGAGCTGAAATTACTGAGGTCTATTGACAAAGACTGGAACAATACATCATGTGGAGAAGCAGGGTATCTCTGAAAACAACATCTGACTTTTCAAGTTTAGTTGTACATGAGTTTCCGCCAAAGGTTACTTTTGATTTACCCAGTAATAACAAAGGAGTGCTGATAACTTTATCATTATTATCACAGCAAAAGCTGAATCATTAGAAATTAATCAAACGAAAATTGATGTATTGCTGATTTTTTTTTTCAATTTCATTTTCACCTTCTAAAGCATATTGAATGTAGGTCTGAAGTGGTCTTGACCATAAAGAATAAAGGCTTTAAGTCCATGTTTATTAAATCTCCCTATCTTTCTCAAATGGTATTTCTGTTGGAAACCTGAAGCAACTGGGGATATTATCTCTCTATTTGTAGCACAAAGATTTGTGTTAGTTTATTTCTGACTATAAATATTGCCTATCCTGAGTTGTCACCATGTTTTTCATTTATGTTTTAATCACACCGTAGATTTTAAAAACTTCCCTGCTCACAGAAAAACCTCCCCACAAATTCGATTCCACCCTCGGGCAACTGTCTGTGTGGAGCTGGCACATTCTCCCGGCGTCTGCATGGGTTTCCTCTGGGTGCTCCAGTTGCCTCCCACAGTCCAAAGATGTGCAGGCTAGCTGGATTGGCTGTGCTAAATTACCCATAGTGTTCAGGGATGTGTAGATTAGGTGGGTCATAGGAGGACAGGTCTGGGTGGGATGCTCTGAGAGTTGGTGTGGACTTGTTGGGCCGAAGGGCCTGTTTCACACTGTAGGGATTCTATGATTCTAAGAAAAAATTCTCCAAAATAGAATTCTCACCACTGTTGTTCATTGACTTCACTAGTTAACTCTAACAATAAACTTTACCGCCTATTTTAAATATAGCTTTCCATTTAAAAACATATCATCCACATCCTTAGGAAATCCAAAGCATTGATGCCTTTAAACTCTCTTTTACATTTTGTGTAGGTAAGCAGGAGAGCTAATTTTCACTCGGGTTCACCAAACAAATGTGAGACAAATGACTAGTAATCTATTTTTGGTGATATTGTTTGACAGACTAACATTGGTTGGCAAACAGGAAAAACTGCTGTTCTTTGATAGGCTCTCACAATGTTTTGTGTCCACTTTAATAGGCAATAATGCCCTTGGTTTAACACCTCATCCAAACTACAACACTTTTTGAATAAAATGAACCAGAATATGCCATTCAACCCATTGCACCTGTTTTGCCATTCAACATGATCATGACTGAATGTTTTTCTCTATACCATACACCTGCTTTCTCCCCATAGAAGTTTACCTATGTTCAGTGACTTTGCCTCTACAGCATTCTGTGGTGGAGAAGTCTGCAGGTTTATTACCTTCTGAGTGAAGAAATTTGTCTTCTCAGTCAGAAAAGACCTACTGCATATGCTGAGGCCATGGCCCGTAATTGTGGTTTCCCCCCCACCCCAGCCAAGGGAAAACATCATCGCTGCATTAAGTCTGTTCAGCCCCATCTTGCATTTTATACATTTCATCTCATTCTTCTAAACTCCAGTGAAAACACGCCCAGTTGACCCAATATCTCCTCATATAACAAACCTGCCATCGAGGGAATAAATCTGGTGAATCTTTGCTGCACATCCTCTATGGCAAGTATATCTTTTTTTAAGTAACAAGATCAAACTCTGCACAATATTCAAGTTGTGGCCTGTCCAAAGTCCCTCATTCATCCCCCCCTCCCAATCTTTCTTTCTTTCTGCCTTGCCCTCCCTATCAACCTCTTCGGCTTGATCTTCCCCTCATTTCCACCCAACTGTCTTATTTTGCTGTTCATCTCCCCAATTCATTCATTTAACCCCAGGCATATAAGTTAGCTATGGCAAATGTTGTTATGCACTGATCCCTTATGGAAGCCAGGACAGTGGTGACCATTGATGACACCCTTCTTGCTCTCCCACATTCTATCATATTTTCCTTCATTTTATGTTTAGTTGCCTAGCCCTTCATAATATAGCTGCAGTGAAACTACCTTGCATTCAAAACCTCTAACAATGAAGATCAATATGCCATTTGCTTTCCAGCTTGCCTGCTGCACTTCTATGCTTGCTTTCACTGACCACTGCGCAAGGAAATCCAGCACTCTTTTATACGTTAACCTTTGCCAATCTATTATCATTTAAATAATACTCTGCCATTTTTTTTTCCCTACCAAAGTGGACAACTTCATATTTATCCATGTTACACTGCATCTTGGCGCCATTCATTTGCCACCCTATCAACATGTCTTAAGTAAACTGAAGCCTCTTTCATTTTTCCTTCCACTTACACTCATATCTTGTTTTGTGTCATCAGCAATCCTGGAAATATTACACTTGATTCCCTCATCTAAATCATTCCTATATGTTGTGAATACCTGGGGCCCAAGCACTGCTCTGTTGTTATTAATGGTACTAATTTCATTTAATTCCTCCTTCCTGTAAGGACTTTGCTTCCATCACAATTCTAGGAAATTATTTATGTCACATGGGATTCCTTATATCTGCAAGTCTTCCCCCAAGTAGTACACCATCTTGACTTTTCTGCATTGTCACAAAACCAAAATCCCTGAACTCCCTAAGTGATGTCACTGCTTGGAAGTACCTTCACCACACTGACTATAGTGGTTAAAAAAAATCTCTTGGAAAATTGAGGATTATCAGCCAATGCTGGTCTTGACAACAATGCCCATGTCCTGTATATGAATTTAAATAATGTATGGCTGTCTATGTGGGTGTTGGTCAACCATTTCAAAAGCAAATTGGTTGGGCCCTTGCAGGAAATAAAATGTGCAACCTAACATGAGAGTGGGGATATGGGAGTCACTGGATTACTGTGTGTAGAGTTGGCAAGGAGATGATGGGCCAAATAGCATCCTATATAGTAAATGACTCTATGAATCCATAATCTTCTCATTCTAAAATGGAAATATTACCATGCTGATTTTTTTAAGTCAATAATAATTCACAAATTAAATCACAAAATCTTCCACCTTCCTTCAAATATTTCCAACATTCTCTTTCTACCCCACCCCTACAAAACCTTGACACAGATTTTATTTTCTTCGCGAGTAGAAAGCA